TTATATAAAATTCTAAAATATGAAAATTTAATAAATTAACTTATAGAAGCAATGTGGGATTTATATAGAAATTCAAAAGTACAAATGAAATATTCTAATGGAAAAACTTAAAATCATACTGACACCAAGACTGTCACCAATATTTTTTAATTAATTAATTTAATATCTACATTAACAAAATAATAATGAATACAGTGTGTCCAGAATGAAAATTAGTTAAACATTAGGAATAAAATTCAATTTTCATTATAATTATTATTTAATGTCATTTTGTAATTTTATTGGAAGTTTTTAGATTATAATTCCTTATCAAACTTCCTTTCACACCTTTATTTTATTGGAAGTTTTATTGGAAGTTTTTAGATTATAATTCCTTATCAAACTTCCTTTCACACCTTTTAAGTTTTATTTTATAACCATACTTTTAATACTCAGCATAAGACACTTCATATTACTCTTTCAATAATTAATATTAAACAAAAAAAATGTTAAATTTTGACTTTGCTCAGGGAAAATCCTTTAAGAGAGATGTCAGCAGCTGAAGAGGGATCAGGACCCAAAATGCTTTCTGCAAAACGACAGTTCCAAGTGTTTGATTTCACTGTACTCTCTCAGATACTTTCCTGTGTGATAAGTCCTAATTTTATAAAATTGTGTGATTAAAGAAGTAAAATGATTAATAGGACAAGAAGCTTTGAGCATATCTTCATTAGTTTTGTATACTTTATATTTAAGCAAATTTTTTTTTCTGTTATAACTAGTTGTTGANATAGAAGTTTACAGCAGTGTACCAATGTACACTGCTGTATGCTTCTGATATGTTTAAGCATGCTCTCAGTGTGAAGATATAGTGCACAACTATACTCTGTTAAGATTAATTAAAAAACCTGAAAGAACATTAATGAACACATTATTGCACAAAGTCAACATTTGCAATAATTAATGTGCACATAATATCAATTTTCTAGACATGTATTGTATACATATGATTCATAAAAGTTAAATATGCTTCAAGTATGAGTAACCTATTTTTTGGCACACCGTCCTTGCATTGCTTGTGAAAAAAGTATATCAATCATGCATGTTATTGAACACAAAATACATGTTCTAGCTCTAATGAAGCAATGTTCATTCCACACAATGCAATGTAGATTAAATATAGTTTACCAAATTACACTGCATTGAAGTTTGAGGTTCTCCTAACTATTCTTAAAACAACATTGATGAAACTGCTTCATCCACCACCTTCTGAAAAGCTGCCACATTATTGGTTACTTTTCAGAGGTTACTAAATTACCAGACATGCTGGATTATCAGGTAACAGATTAATTTAACAAACTTCTACTGCAAGAAAATCTCTGTTAGGAAAATCTCATTTTTTGCTGTGAGATGATGTTAATTTATTGATTCAAAACAGTTAAAGTAATAGATTTAAAAAAGATTGCATTTCATCCTTTTCATTTTTCATATCCAGTAAAATCTGCTTACTGTAATCATTGATCCTTGGATTTTTATGTAATTACATTATACTCACATGGATGTTTTTTAATTTTAAAATAACATATGTACTGTACATAACACTCAGAAATGGATTAAAAAATTGAATTTCCATATGACATATTTACTCTATATTACATATGTACTGTATATAACATTACTATATATTTTTACATATTTAAATTTTTATTTATAAATTTGATCACCAAAAGATAATTAATTTAGAAACTTAAATCCTCAACAAATTTTATTTGTTTTTTAAATTTTAAACCATAATTCTGATCCATTATCAATACTTAAATAATTTCTGACTGATTTTGTTGGATTTCCTGCTCAATTCATGTTTGGTAGTTGAAAATATGAAATTCATTGACTGGCAAATTTTGATTGTAAATATTTCAAATTTAAAAGCTAAACCATTTCAAAATTTTAAATTTCATGCTGTGATTGGTTAGTAAAATTCATTTGACTAATAGTGATTTTGGAAACCAGTGTAGATATAGATTCTCCATCATGAAGAACATATATATAAATGTCTTCCCTGAGGGGTCAAATCTAAAGAACAGAATAGATGGTGACCATGGAATAAGGCTGTATTATTCTATCCAACAGTTGCTAAACCACTCTGTGAACCACTGACACAAATTTTTCTGGGAATGAGCTGATAAGCCATTCTGTTGTTACCAAACCTGCTGTACTTGTGCCAATGGCAAATCATCAAGCTATTCATTCACAATCATGTGTCAGACATCAGTTACTATTCAGGATGCCATCTGTTCATGGAGCACACACTGCCCAATGGCATTTTTTAAATGAATTAATGTTTTGCCCCTGAATAGATATTTAAATATCAATTATTTTAGTGCTGGAACTGGAACTTTCACCACATGCATGCACACATGCAATACTGGAAAGATCTCCTTTGCTATTGGATAGATATTTAAGTAGATATCCTGTATAACAACTGATGGAAAAATTCTATTTACCAAGCATATGAGGAAAAATCAGTATTGCTATTTCAATTTAAATTACACTATGCAGTGTGTTCTCTTAATATTCCTTGTGTCATTACAGATTATGAAGGATATAGGTATACCTATAACAGGTTCCTATATTTGTATTAGCATAGATGAAATAACTGAACTTGAAGGAAAATAAAGGACAAGTTGCTTAGTCAGTAAGCTTGACAAGGAAAAAGCTTAGAAACTACTTTCTGGTTTCCTGTTCAGAACTGAAGAAAACTAATTCTAAACTACTACTAATCTATACTAATATTATAAAGAGGTAATGTTTGTATGTATGTATGTATGTATGTATGTATGTATGTTAGTTTGTATGCAGCAGGTAATCTCCGAAACTACTCATCCAATTTCAAAAATTCTTTCACCAATATTTAGAATGAAACTTCAGGGTGGACATAGGCTATATATTATTCCGTTAAACATGGGGGATGGACAGTTCTTTACGGTAAGCCTTACGGTAAAGGTTACCGTAAAGAACTCTGCTTCTATTTATACCATTTTAGATGCAGTTTTTTCCGTTTTTGATTGCGTTTTAATAGAGTACGTCAACAGAATGTACACTAAGAAGGGATTTTTCGATATTCCCCCCGCGGGGGAGAGAGACAGGATTAAGGCTTACTCTGAAAAACTTGGCTTCTATTATATTATTTTAGATGCGGGTTTTTGCGTTTTTGATTGCATTTTAATAGGATACGTCAACAGAATGTACACTAAGAAGGGATTTTTTTATATTCTCCCCGCGGGGAAGAGACAGGATTAAGGCTTACTCTGAAAAACTTGGCTTCTATTATACTATTTTAGATGTGTGTTTTTGCGTTTTTGATTGCGTTTTAATAGGGTACGTCAACAGAATGTACGCTAAGAAAAATTTTTTCGAAAAATTTTCCCCCACTGGGGAAGTGTTATACATTTATAATAGATACATTTTGAGCCACAACAAGGCGTGGCGGGGTCTGCTAGTTACTAATAAATCACTATTAATTAATAATCATGTAATTATTAAGAACTCACTCAGTAATTTTTTCTTTTCATCATCACTATATAATCAACAAATTTATTTAAATATCCTTTAAACTTACTTGTTAGATAAACTTTACAGGCAACAAATGCACAAGGAAAGAATACTAGTTTTAATTATTGATGCTGTTCTCTATATGTTAAAAGCAGTACAAATATTGAAAATTCTATATCCCAATTTAATTCACATAAGGAGCTTCACTCGTGGCTTATAAAAACTTGCTAAAGCCACATTTGGAACTGTAGACAGACTAATAATATCAAAATTTTTGTGAAAACTCCTCATGGAATAAAATTTTATCAGGAAAAGCTTCCAAACACTCTCTACCTCAACCAATTATAACAGTATTTATAAAGATGTGCTTTTAATAACTAATGCTTTAATGCTATGTTAGATTTAATTAAGTAACTTTTATAAATTTTTTTAAAATTTAACACAAATGATAGACAGTTTGGATCCAAAGGGTTACTTGCTGTATTCCAATTGCACAAAAAATGTTTTGCTAGTTACATCTCAAATAATTTGGCATACATAACAGCCTTTTTCCTGTATTTCAAAAGTTATACAGAAACTGGAAACATTTGGACTAGAGGTAACAGTTCTTACTAGTAGTTTCTAAAGTCATGGCTGAAATGCAGAAACTAACTAGAGAAATAGGAGAATAATACAGAGAAAGTTAATACAAGTTCTTCAGAAAAATCCTGGATTTAAAACGTTTCAAGATATTGACAAAATTTTTTTTGGTGAATTAGTTGTTCGTGAAATTGCTTCACAATATATGGAAATAGCTTATCAGAGATTCTCTTCTCTGACAATAGTCAATTTTACCAGTAAAGTTGGAAAAGTATTTTGCAGTGAACTACACCTGTAAATCTCTTTGTGAAAATAACATTAGTCAATAAACAAAACTTTGATAAAAAGAGTTTTTAGTAATGTACTGTACTGTACATCTTGTGAAATACATAAAATATAGTTCAACTGTTATGACTGTATATTCTTTTACTTTATTTAACATAAAAACATATATAGTTTGCTAATTTTACATGTAATCCAAGGGTTAGTTTTACTTTTAGGACTTACCTATAATGATATTAATAACTGATTAAAACATTAAGTAGAGTAAATAGATAAAGCAACAATCAGTGGAAATTCTGGATTATGTAGACATTAAATGGACTTGTTAAAACAATTTATAAGTTGTAAAAAATGTGTAAGTTGAAAATATATTAATTAAAATTCAATCATTATATAATTAAAAGAATGAAGCGATAGCAATTAAATTACTGTATTGCAAGCAAATAATGATTAAACTGATTAATATTTAAACAAATAATGCTTATATTTATTGATTATGACTGATAATGCTAACCAGTAATGATTGTGTGTAACCAGCCACATATTGAGGCTGACAGAACAAAACAAAAGCTTAAAAAACATTTACTTACCCAATGTGACACGACACCATTTATTCATAGTTTTTAAGTTATGCTATTTTCATTTTCTATCACTTCCTTTCCTAGACTATCAATTTCTATCACTTCCCTTTCCTAGACTATGAATTTCCCTTTTGTTCTTGATTTTCCTTTGTTCCCCAAGTTCGAGAACTTTCCACCTTTGCCCTACTTCCGTGGGTGTGAGACGACAGAGTGGAGAAGGCCCTGAGGGAAAACATCAATGTAGTCAGCACTTTTTGGTCAAGTTCCCAAGGAAGGTAGACATGCAGAGCTTTGGGTGGCATCAGAAGTGACAGGGTATAACCACTAAGATACGGTTGGTACAGAAAGCACCAGTGAATCCTGAGAGTCAAAACAGGAAATCTTGTTCAGAAGACCAAAAGAAAAGTGAACTAGTGACAACTAAGAAACAAAATACATATACCAGTGAAATTCAGGAGAAATGCAAAGGTACATTTGGATGGTTTCATCATGATATGTGAAGTGATGGGTATCCCTTTTCTAAGGCTTCTTTCTTTGTAAATCTATCTATCCTTATCTAACATCTCTTCCCTCTTTTAGCATTAATTAGAGTAAAAAAACATAGGTTGTAAGGTAATTTTAAGTGCGGCTGATCTTTGTGTGTACTTACTTTTGTGATTTGAACCCCACATGTGTGAATCTCAAAAAGTTGAGAATATCCTTTTGTGTAACAATCTTGATTGTACTATACTGTTGTATAAAAGTTCACTAACAATGCACCAGAGTTGTGACCTGATCTTTTTTGGTGTTCATACTGTATAAAATAAAGTTTTGCTCTTTATGTTATACCTGTTTCTTATTCTCGTCATGCTGAACATAGTGTTCAGCGTGATGAGAATAAGAAACAATTATAGTGATACCAATTATATAATGACCAATTATAGTGATAATTATAAAAAATTTTTAATTACAATATGCCAAGTTTTATAAGTGTATTTTAACTTATATGCGTTGAAATATGCTGTTTTGATGAAATATAGGTAACTGATGATAATCTGATTACAATAAGCAGAATTTACTGTTTACTAAATTTAATTATAAGCAAGCTTAGTACATACTTTTTCTTCATATTATGTTCTTGTTTATGATGATCAATTATTTCAATTACAGAAGATTCCATTTCAGCATCAAAAAATGGAAGAACATTGTGATCTACCAGAACTAAATACAGAAGCCTTTTTGTGTGCAGTTCCTATTTTAATAATTAATACTTAGAATCTTATGTTAAAAGAAATTAATCATTTAAATTAAATTACAATTTTACCTTTTGGTCAATTTCATTTCTACATATAATTGGATCAATAGAAAGATTTGTTTCTTCTAAAAAATATGTAACTTCACTGTATAAAAAGAGGTCTTTCCGTGAAGTGTTGAGAACAGGAATAATAATTCTGTCCTTGGTTGATTTGATCTGTCAATTTATAAATTATCTTATAGTTAAAGGAAACTTTAAGGACACAAATATAAAATTTAAAAACATCAGTTATCTACAAATACAAATTTACTGATTTACCATTTCTCAAATTCATATGACAACATATTGTGAGATGCATTCATAAAACATTAAGTTAAAATAAAATTAAATATCGGCTAATCAAATTATGCTTCACATACCAATTCATTTAATTTCTCTCTAAAAGTTAAAATAAACTATACTTAAAATGATAATTACTTTATAATTTTATAACTATAAATTACATAATACAGTGACTTATATACAAAAATCTTTTTCACTACTGAAGACAGAAATTTGAATTAAAAAATTGTTCAATAAGACTATTATTAAACTTAACTTTCATTTCAAATTTATGATCAAAAATTGTTGAAAAATGAGTGTTTGATTTTATAATAAAAATCATAACAATGACAAATTGTATTATAATTTTACATTTTTTCAATTTAATTCTTATTTACGATAATAAATGGAATGTTTTTTGTATCATCGAAAATAAATCATTAACAGAATTTTATATAAGCAAATCAAGAATTTTTCTTTACAATTTCTTTACAATAATACTGAAACAAATATATCTCTTTCACTATTATTACAAAATTAAAATATAATCACACACAGAACATAATCTGCCTAAGAAATTTTAATATTATGTAGGAGAGAAATTTACAGAATATGATTAATCACTTGTATGAATTAGACATTGTAATAATTTTAAAATTAAGAAGTTAATATTATATACAACTTATAGTTGCAATTGCATATTTTGTTTAAACTAAATTAATTGCTTTGTTTTCTTTTTAATTTAGAATCAATAAATATTACATACATTAGTCATTGGTCACTAATGTCATCAATACTAGAAAAAAATTCTTAAATGTCAAACTATGTTAGTTTTATTTTTTTTTTTTTTTTATAAAAGTTCATGAAGTGATGTTTAATGTTCTTCCATATTGTATATCTATATTTAATCATTATAAATATCTTACTTGGAAAAGCCTGATTAGAAAATGGATCAATGTTGAGATGATGTACTGTACTTAAAGTCTATATTGTATTTATATATTCTAGTGAGGTTTATGAACCTATTTTATGATATTTCAGAAGCTATTAATTGTTTAATTGTTTACTTAATTTTATTTATTTACATTTATGCTTTGTATTTGGTTTAAATATATTCAAACTAAATATATATATTTTAAAATATTTTCATTTTTTGTAATTTGCAAAATTTATAAAAATAATGCAATCTGTTAAGTCAATTGTAAATTTTTTCAAAGAATACAGTAATTAATATAGCTGTAATTAAAGTAACTAATATTGGATGGTAAGGTTTGAAAATGTTGCTATTAAAGTAAAGAGTTCTGGTTCTTATACTTGAATCTTCTAATGTTTAATTTCAAAAATTTATATCATGATAAATTTTTATTAATAAATAAAACATATATTGAGTAAACTTTAAAAAATTAAAAAATGAATTAAAATCTCTGAATTCTTTCTATAGAATAAATATCGAATGATCAAGTCAAACTGGATTTTAATAATTTTCTTTCATAAACTGTTGTATAATGCTCTTAAATACATTTGGAGATTTTTCATCTCTTCATCAGTATGACTATTAAGTAACCAATCCGGATAAAACATTTCAAAATACAATTGTATGACAGTTTCTAAAATAAAATAATAACAAGACAAGTTTTAAGACACATTAGACACATTAGACATTTGTTCTAAATGAGAATCCAAGAAATTAAGTGGCTCAGCATTATCTAAATAAATTAAAATAATTTTACATATTTCAAAAAATATTTTTACAGAAATTCCATATTTATTTCAAAAAGTATACATAAATATATTTTAACAAATCAAAGAAAATAAATTCACTGATTTCATATATTGTTCACATTTTAAATGTTAAGAAATTAATCTTGGTAAAAGTACATTCACATGTTGATTTCATAGGTTATACATTCACAGCTTTCACAAATCTCTCTTTCTGTTTGTAAATCACTACTGGTGGTTAGTTAATGCTTCCAGAAAAAGAAGTTATGCAATGTGATTTGTTCGATATTAATTCTACTACCAAGATTATTTGTTGATAATTTTGATTAACATAACATTAAAATATTGGTATATAAGTTGACATTTTAAGCTCAAAAAATACCTTAAAAGCTAGGAGTCAACTTGCAAGCCTTTAAGTTAGAGTGGTAAACAAATGAAATGATGCTTATAACAGTTGCTGTACACTGCTTCTCATAACTCCAGTGATTGTCACAAATATTCAAACTAATAAGTTGTAAAACTTGTGTTTGATGAACTTAATTAACATGAAGATTAATGTATTAAAAATTTAGTGTAAATGAATTCTACAACATATATTGTTTCCAACAACCAATGGCCAATCATACATCACTTATGCCAGCATTTCTCAACCTTTTTGAGTCCAAGGACTAGTAAAGTCTGAAAAAATTCTATGGACCACTAAGTTACATAGGCCCAATTATTTTTAACCTAAGTGAGTATTATTACCATTTGATATATACTGTGTCATTTATAACGTAAATATGTTCAGATTGCTAACAAGGTTTAGGAGTTTGGAGTTAGGGGAATCTTTCACTCCTCTGTAAGGGAGATGAAATTATAGAAGAGTATGGGATCCTAGTCTTCTGGTAGTCCATGTTTTCTATAGAGTACCAGTGAGTAACTATGGAGTATTTGATCCAGATCGGTCAAAAGGTTTGGGAGTTCATAGGGAAGATAAAATCAGCAGGAAGGAGTACTTTACTTCCCTTATATAAAACTAAACTTTTGTAAGTAGGCCTATAGTATTTTTGTGGGCTCAATTGCAGATATGAATGACACTGTTGGGATCTTAACAAAGCTGTAGAGCATTAGTATGTCCATAGGATCAAAAATGTCAAAGAAACCATACATGTGACCCTTTGCAAAATATAGCTCCCCAAAATCAGACTACTTCCAGACACATTCAGGAGTCATGCCATGAGCTCTGTACTATATCAGAAAGCTTACTACTTTCTGATATAGTACATCAGAAAGTAGTAAGCTTTCCAATGTTTCCTTGATATGAACATATTTCGTGACAACTGCAACTTTCTTTTAGGCATTTTATTGTCAATAAGACTCACTCACATATGTGTACACCTGAAAAGTAACCAAAAGAACTTAGATATAGAATAACCTCAAAATAGAATAAAGAAAAGTCCAACGCACAACACTTTGTAAGATATTTGCCTCCAAATGTGGAACCCCAATGGTAGCAGTTCCAGTTGCCATCTTGCTTGTGGACATCATGTTTGCAAGCATGTATATGTTAAAGGCAATGGTTGCTGTACCTTTAACATAAATAATAAATGCATTAACTTCTACTGACTGAAAACAATTTTTACCTTAAACAGGTACTACTACTGCCTATTTGCCATGCTCCACATTGGCCAAGTTTAGTTATATATACAATATGGAGCATTGGTCACGTTTAGTTTAGTATATAGTTTAAGGAGAGTATGGGGGAATTGCCCCATACTCTCCTTAAACTATATAATTAAACTATATCCTTATATTATATATCAGGGGTGGCCAAGCTTCTTGATAGTCCGAGCCATTTTTCAAAATTTGAAATTTTTCGCGAGCCACAATTAAATATGTATTAAAAAGGTATGCAAAAAATTCCAGATTACAAATTATATCCGTAGCAAGAGTGATACAAATTGTTTCCTCCAGAGCACAATGTCAACTGTCTATTGCAATGACAGTTTACAAATTCAAAATTGGTCTGGAGTCGGTCGATAACGGACGATTACGCCACTGTTTATGTTCGTTCGCGCAGTTTTCGATGAGTCATATCATTCTTAACTTGGACGGAAATGAAATTTGTTACAACGTTGCACTTAGTCTTT